CGGGGCGTGAGAACGGCCGCGGAAGCCGTGCCGGAGCCACACGGGCCGGTTTTCGGTGTGAATTTCTCCGTAGGGCCTTACAAAGCTCTAATTCTCGCCGTCGCGGTCTGCAGTTACCTACCTTTACTCCTGCTTCTCCCTTCATAGTTTCAGAGCTTGAATAAAGGAGGAAGATTTTGTTGTGCCTTTTCGTTGTCTTGTGCTCCGTTAGGCTCTTCACTGTACAGCATATGCAAATACTCCTCGTAATTAGTTTTACAAGGAAGAGTAGGTTTGAAGCTAATTGTACTTACTCCCTTCTTTTCCCCCCCAAGTGGGGGGTTGCAAAGCCTCAAAGTTGTTACGAGGTTTTGCAGTGAAGCATGGCACTCATTTTCTGGCCAGGCTGGCTCCTCAAGCCCCGTTCTGGAGCCCCTGCTCCCTTCAGACCCTCCCAGAGTAGTTTGTTTGTACCAAAATGAGCACTCGGGTCTGTTTTGGGCCCCATCCAGGCTGTCAGCAGGCACGAGCAGAGACCTGTGTGCTGGGCAGATCCAGGGAAGGATGGGAGCGATGCTCGTGAGGGGTGCAGCAGGATTAGGGCAGAGGTCAGAAGCCACGAGTTGGGATTTTGCGTGTAGGATTGTTTTGGCCTTTTTTTTTTTAAACTGCCTTTTTCTGTGTAGCTGTATGTTGTGATCTGGAGTCAACTCGAACAGTTCCATGATGTGTCTGTTTGATTAGTGTGTGTTTACCCCAGTGGAGAGGTTTAAAGGAGGTGCCTTTTCTGGACGCAAATACCCGCTGTAAATGCGGTGCAGTGTCCTCTATCAACATCAACAGTTGGCATCTCTGTCTGCTGACAGTTGCACCCAGCGTTCATATGCTTACTGTGTTTAAGTTGCTGTTTTTTAGGAGACCTAAGTTAGTGGGCTTGGTTCTATCTCCAGTTGCTTCCCTGTTAATTAATCCAAGATGTTATGATTGCTTAAATGTCAGTGATTAAAATGTATCCCTGAGCATATTGGTACTTGTTTTAGTTTTGTGGTTTCAGTTTGTTTTGTTGTTTGGGGGAAAAAGAAGTTCGAAGTTGGTTCAACAGACAAAACGCTCTGTACTCTAAGTTATGTAGCTTTCAGGTTCATGTTTTAATAAAATGTTTGGTGTGTACCTTACTAATTTAGTAAAAGAGTTCTGAATTTCTGACAAATCCTATCAAAGCCAAGATTATATTGAAGAGTTTAGCAAATAATGAAGGTAGTTATTTTAAATGTTCTTGACAATTTCGCATGTCTGTGTTTACATATGCCTCTTCTAAAATCTACTAGTTTGGGCACAAAGCTTTAGTGTCTGCCTCTCTTTTACTACAGTCAAATATTTAAATACATTTTCCTTATCTGGGATTGTTGTTTGGCTTTTTTTGTGGGCAGGTGGAGAAATCAATCTTGAAATGTCGGAACATTAAGCACGTGTCTCTTTACACTGGCCTTCCAAAACAGAAAGATTCATGTACGGATGAGATTCTTTGATGGAGCTAATTTTTATGTTTTACCTAAAAGTCAGGTCATCTCAGTATCATCCTATGGCATCAGGTGAGCTGTTGTTCAGTCCCAGTCTCCAGGAGAGCTGTCCGACGCCGCTGGAGCTGCTGATGCCAAACCCAGGTTCGGTACAGTACCTGTCCATCCTGCTGTTGCCTTTGAAGGAGGAGTGACCTAGAAGTGTCAGGACATCAGCCGTGGGTTGTATTCTTTTTCACCCTGACATCTTTGAGTGATGGTAGTGATTCGGAGGGATAGCCAAAGCTGTGAAGAGTTTTCCCGTTAGAAGACCAGCCTCTCAGGACCTAGTCCGTGCCTGCCCTTATATTGATAGTCACAGCTTTCCAAAAGCCAGTCATCAGCTTGAGAGCCTTGCAGTATGACTGCTGGAGCAGATTTTCTTGCCTTCTTTTTTTTTTTTTTTTTTTTTTTTTTTTGAGTTATTCCCAGAATCAACTGGGAGCTGATTACTGAATATGTCTACTTCTATCCCTGGGCCCATCATCCATGGGCAACCACTTTGGGGAAAATCTCCTTTCATTTGAGCTTTTCTCTTCTTGCCTGTTTTTATGATTCATCTGTCTCATGTTGACTTTCGTGCACATTGTGTTGGCTTGGACTTCCTCCCCTTTCAAGTGTGAGGGAAGCTCTCAGTGTTCATTGGGGAAGCATTACTGTTGCCATTTAAAACATCCCTGGATGACCATGATATTTTTAAAATCCAGGTGCTAAGTATAAATGTATTTGCTGCACGCTCAAAATGAATTCAGCCTTCTTTAAAGACCACAACAGCTTTGTTAATAAAAGTGATGACAGGCTTGCTATTAGAATCACCTCAGCTAGGAGACCTGCATCCGAGCTGTGGATTATCACAGGACTGTGCTGGGAGAATTTCACATCATTGCTGCTTTCTTGCCAGTGCATGAGGCCCACTACACCAGGCACTGCAACCATCTGCTGCACTTTTTCTGGGAAAGTGGTAAATTTTTGTGTCTCCTGTGAAATAGAAAACATAAAGGCAAATCAGAAAGTTGTGATTTGCTTTTGTTCAAATGTATATGAGAACTATGTCTCCTTCAGAAAAGTGAAAGGAACTTTCCAGAATTAAAGCAAGGAAAAAAGGACCGTTTATTATTATTAATAAAAATATATTTTTAAAAAATCTTAAAAAACAATCCTTCACCATCGGTGTGAGAATCTAGTGTGTTACATACTGTGCACAATACAGTCCAGTTGTTGATGTCAGTAGAGGATACGGTTGACTCTCCAGCATGGCATTTCTGGGAGGCATTTGCATCCAGAGAAGGCACCTCATCAAAATCATCCTGAAGAGATTTTTGCGGATTTTGTTTTTCTCAGGTTTTGTCTGAGGAGAAATACGGTGGTAGGTAGTGTAAGAATCAGCAATGCTGAATCGAATACACTGGTTTTCTAACCCGATTTCTTTTCTCATCCACAGTTTGAATTTCCAAGATACTTAGGAAGTACGAGTTGAACCTTTCCCCATGCAGATGTGTAATAACCATCCCTCTTGGTTTTAGCTCAGTTGTATAAATGTTCCAGTTGTGTAAATGCTTTTTTGGTGTTGGCGCTGGTTTATGTGGTTCCCAGCTCTGGCTGTTCTTTGCCTGTGCTACTCCTCCAGCTGGCTGGTGTAGCTGGTTGGGGGCTCTGGATGGTCAGTTTGGAAACTGTCAGGCATTGAAACAGGCTGCCCAGGGAAGTGGTGGAGTCACCATCTCTGGAGGCATTTAGAAGACGTGTAGATGTGGGGCTTTGGGACATGGTTTAGTGGTGGATTTGGCAGTGTTAGATTAACACTTGGACTTGGTGATTTTAAAGGTATTTTCCAACCTAAACGATTATATGGTTCTATTCTATGAAACTTAATCTGGGTTAAAAGAATCTTTTTTGGATAGGATCCTTTGTAACTTGAGTGAGTTATTTGCTCTGGTTCATGTGTAGTTTCACAGCTGTAACTGAACAGCTGGAACGTGTCAGTAGGAATGAGGGAGAGGAGATGAGATCTAATTAAGTCATTACTTTGGCTGAAAGAATTGGACATGAAACTCTGCCTTGAAAAATGGAGTTGCTAGATCTGGGCATCAGTCAGTGTTTGATGGCATTAAGGTATGGGATATTTTTTCTTATATGCACTAATTTGACCTTGTAATCCAAAAGTGTGTGGACAAAAAGATTTCATTTCATGGTAGCAATGTTGTGCTGATTAGGTGGTACATTTTTGCAGGCATATTGTTATTTTGTATTTTAGTTACTATTTCAATCCACTTTCCAGCTACCACTATAAGATCTAATGGCCTAAGGTGCTGTACCACAGCCCAAGAAACTTTTTGTTCTCATCTTTCTTTCTTTGTAATGTGGGCACATCAGTTGCTGTCCTCCAGCCCTCTGAAACTAACTCCTGGAGAAAATACTTACCTTTTTCTTTTTATATAAGGGAGATTGTTTGAAAGTAAAGAGCAAAGACCATTGATCATACTTTTGGTTATCTGCATCTGTGTGAAGATTAAATATCGGAACATCTGTATATAAATTATTTATCAAGTGATCATCTTTTGACGGACTGATGGCGTCTGTCTTTGCCCTGTGTTATTTGGAATATACTCTGAATTGTCTACAGAATTTGGTGTGGTTTAGACATATGTGAAAATTTGCACTTGCTCGCTTGCTCTCTTCTTTTATTTATGCCTGATGGACAGTGCTGATTCTTAGTTATGCTGTGTCCATCTCACATGAGCAGGTATATTAACCGTGTGTTCTGTTATTCTCAGGGACGTGGCCATGGAGGCTATGATTCTGATTTTAGTGACGAGGAGAATGGAGAGAAGTCTGTGCAAAAGAAGACTAAAAGGTAACGTAGCACAGAATTAACACTCTGCATTATGTATTTTGTGCAAATGGCCTATTACTGTGCATAGAAGATTATGCTGGGGTAGGTAAAGTCTGGTGTTGAAATGGATTTTTCAAAATCCATCTCTTTGGTTCTTGCGTCTCTTCCTGTCAAGCTTGCCAAAGCAGGCCATCTCCCAGGGGCAGCTGATGAAGATCTGTTCTGCCACGTCCATCTGGTGTCTCTATGTCCCTCAGTTTTGGGAGCAGAGTGTTTCATTTTTCTGAGCATTAGTATCAGCTGCTGGGGTTTGGCTGTGCTGTTCACTTCACTGTGATCCATCAGGACACGTGGAACTGCTAAGAGAGCAAGGCAAAAAAGGCCAAGTGGCAGCAGGTTTTGTAGATATAAAACACCTGCTTGGAGGAAGTGAAGAACTGATGCTACTTGTTTATTATTTGTGAAGAGACTTGGGAATTGGTGAATTATGTTGTACTCAATCCTTGAAATGTAATTACATGTTTCTTCTTCTTTGAGATCATCTTTTCCAGTTCTTTCAGTGACTCACGCAATTAATGACTTTGAATTCTGTAGTCTGATCTTGTTATATTATTAAGATTTTTATTTATTTATGTATTTATTTTTCTTTGGCACAATAGTTCTTTGACACTTTCTGTACCATAGTGAACGTAGTGCCTACGTTATGCATATTTTTCTTACTTCTTCCTGTCTCTTCCTTGCTCTGTTATTGGACTTTATTTAAGAATGCTTTCTGGAAACTATCATAGGACTCCTGCATGTTTTTCTTTGTAGTAAAATTGAAAGAATGGGGTTTGTAGTGTCCACTTGCATTCTGGGAAAAAATTCATGTTTTAATCATTGGAATAATAGCAGGCATTGTGCTGTTCCATTTATTTTATAAATATAGCTGTTCTCCATTAAAACAGTAATTGGTTTTGTTCAGTTTTTGTTTTCTTTAAAAGGCCATTACACACTATACCATTCCACTTTTTAGGTGGAATATTAACTAACCATCAGGAGCCTTTAAAAAATACTGTCATTACACTTGTTCTGGCACATGATTGCTGATTCCCAGTAAGGCTCTTACATGGGTTCACTGGTTATGTGTATATCCTTTTCACACTCACTGATGGTATTTATTTTCACTTTAAGAAAATAGTAGTCTTAAGTTTTCCTCCATATTGCTGTTTTATGGAGTCTCTTTATGGGAATTTTATGCCTACAGATCCTTTTGAGCAAATAATATCCTTCATTTCTAGAGTCCTGTATTCCATAGCTTGATATATAAATTCTCTGGCTTGCTTTCTGCAAGTTCCCAACTTCCATTCTTTATGGAAAAATCTTTTCTTCGCCTCTGTTGAGGAATGAAACTATCTTTTACTAGGTACAGTACATCACCTTATACTTTTTATTACTTTGCTGAATTCCGAGGGTATTTTTAGCTGCCCACTGACAAGTATGGTTCACAACACAGTACTTTAGTTTTAAATTAGTGATTCTTGCGATTACACTGAGAGGCAGAGGTGTTTAATGAGGTGTTGAGGCATTAGTATGAAAGGGTGGGATAGGGTTATTAGCAATCACTCTTGTTCAGTGAACATACTGTCCTTCCTGTTCCTACTTGGCTGTGTAGCTGAATGAGGTTTATAGAGGGATTTAAATGTCGAGTGAAACTGAAGAGTCTTCAGGGTTTTTTGATTGTGGTTCTATAGTGATAATATTAATAAAAATAAATATTACAAATTGCTATTTTAAACAATTATCTTTAAATGCTAACTAAGCGAGTGCCTTTCCAATTCTGTTCTGCAAGTGAAGTCTAAGCTGATGTTGGTTCTGAAATTTGGTTTTATTCGTGTAGAAAGTAGCAATATAACAGTTTTTGTTACTCAAGTTAGTGCAAAGTTTGGCATATGGAAATTTTATTGCTTATGAAAAGTTCTTGACTAACTTTTTTTTCCTTTCCCCTCTATGTTTAGTGTAAAGGAAGATGGCCTTCTGATAAAGCCATTCCAAAAAGCAAAACAAGGCGGTCTGGTTCACAGACAATTCGCAGCTGAAGAATGGGATAGGTATCTTTTATCTATTGCTTTTGTGAGGCATTTTTCCATTAATGTAAAGATAGCTTTCACTGAATTGTATTTGTTATTAACAGGGAAGAAGCAAGAAAAAGAAGATTTCACTTGATATCGATGGATGCTGTATCCTTCTATTTAATTTTTCTTCACGGTTGAAGATGGGGCACAGGTTATCCATTATGGTGAAGTACTGGGATTTCTCAGTTATCACAGCAATTGACAGTGCAGCACTGGATAACGAGTCATTCTTCAAATTAGTTTCTTTTTGTTGCTGAGATGTCTCTGAACAATTTCCATATTGTTCTATATGCTCATTTGTCCTGTTTGGGACAAAATTATTACACAGTGAATTTTATTCAGACTGGCGCAAAGACACTTTGCTCTTTCAATTGAGTTTATACAGAACATAATTCTACATAAGGCTGCTATTATCACTAGACAAATACATTTCTACTGGAAATTTAAGAATGCATTAGTTAATGCAAAAGTTTATTCAGAACAGCCTTATCTCCAGTAATATGCTGTAATGTAAGCCTATTTAATATCATGTGCTGTTTCGGGGTTTTTTAATCTCGTAATCACAGTTCATGTATAATTTCTAACTACTTTTATAACTACCCCTTATTTAGATTACAACTTTTCTCTTTTATTTAGTTTTAACTTGGCACAGTCATTACGTATTTTGACTGAGTGTAACTAAAATACCATCAGTTCCTTGTTTTTTTAAATAACTGTTCTTCAGCAGTAACAGTTAATAAACAGGAAGGTAAAGACTAATTAAATATGGAAAGACTGACTTAAATCCAGAAGCTCCAGCAACCAGAAAGTAACCTCCTAACCTGCATAGAATTATGTAATGCCAGGCACTACATAAACTATCGTGTGCCTGTAAAGGGGATGTATCTTAATCAGTCCCACTGACATTGTAGACTGTCACTAGCCATGGAAGAGCTTGTGTATTCTGACTACAAAACTCATTGTGTGGAGACTTTTAGGAATTTCTGCTAATGTTTTTGGGTGGTTCCTATTTAAAACCTTTACTGTTACGCAATTTGAATGTCTAATAACTCAAATGGCATTACAAAATAGTATGTTGTGTTAAATGTGATTAATTGTGCAAGTTAAACCTTCTGGGCTTGCTTCTCTGTTCCTTCTATTTGTGGTGAAAAGAAAAAAAAAAAGACATATACTGAGGTTAATTCAACTTTTTGGGGGCCTTTGGAAAATGAAATGTTTTCTCAATAAAATTCTAAGATGGGTCTCAGTAGTAGTTGCCAGGATATATACCAGAAGATAATGTATTTCCTAATTTGCTGCTTCAGAAACACCACACAAGTTAATTGAAAATATCTTTAAGTAGCCATATATAATGTTTTTATTTGTAAACGTGCTTATTTTCTGAGTAATTACGTATTTTTGCTCAGATGGCACAAAATGTGTTTCAAATCATATCTCCGATGTCAAAGTTTTCTAAAAAAAGCATTGCGTATCTTCCTGTGATTTTCGTCTGCAAACTAAAGTAGGTAACTTTTATTTGTATGTTGATGGTAAAATGTAATAAACTGTTGCATTTTAGTAGCTGGGCTGTTTTTATAATACAAACCTGTTTTAAACCAAAACAGCAGTACTAAGGAGCTGTTGTCTAAATTACAGCTGAAACAATGAAACCTGTTTCTGTGTATATGTGTACAGAGCATCTTTGATAAAGGAAGACAGTTTTATAGAAGTCTGGCAGCTGAATGAGGTTTTAAAGATGAAATTGCCATGAATTCCTGTATTTAGAAAGTAGCTCTTCTGAGAGGTTATTAAGTAAAAATTGCTAATTAATTCCTTTCTGGAAATTACTGAACTGGTTTTGAGAAAAGAAATGTCTTTATGTTAAGTATATAAAAATTCTTTTTTTTTTTAGTTTTAAACTCTGGTAAAGTAAAATAAGTTCTGAAAAAGTCCTTAATTGCTCTATTCAGTATTCAAGACATAAAAAGTTTGTGAGTGACTACATTTTATACTATGGTGGCAAAATAGAGGATTTCAAACGTTCTGGGTAAGAACCATTAGCAGTCTTTCCCCTCATGTCACCAAAGCCTCCTGTTATGTAAAGCCATTAAATATATATTATAGCTTTTGGGGGCAAGGGGGGTTGTATCAGGTTACCAATTCTTTTGGTCACAAGTAGTAACTACAGTCATTGTAAATATCCAAAACAGAGAAGTGCCGTGTTTCATTTAGCACTATTATTTTTATATAAGAACTTACCATGAGCTGAATTCTTCTTGTTTTGTTATGTAAAAGGGAAGATGACAGGTGAGCATTAATTGAGGGTACCTTGAGAAATATCTGGCAGTACCTTCAAAATAACAATCTGAAATACTTTTGAGATGTGCAGAATTGCCATCCATTGTCCAGAATAATGATAACCTTCTTTAGAGCTGTCTGTAGCTGCCTTCTAACATTACAGCCTTCAATAAAAATATTACAAGTATTTTCAGACAGGATCAAGTCATCCATATTTTCAGTGGCAGTTTTCCACTGTGAATTTTTCATTTGGCAAAAGCTATGCCAGGGAATATATTTTTTTAGTTTTATTCCATAGCAGTGTATTCCTTAATGCAGTGAGTTGGAGATCACAGCTGTGAAATACTGATGTGCACCAGATTATTATTTGACTAACTTTTCATTTTAATGTTACATTGTACTAAAAAAGCCATGTCCTTTTATAGAGCAAATGACAAGACGGATCTTGATGTTATTAGAGAAAACCATAGATTCCTGTGGAACGAAGATGATGAAGCAGACATGAATTGGTACCTGGAATTAATGCAGAACATGTTATTTTTAGATTACTTGTACTAAATTTGTGGTGTCCCCTATTAATTAAGAATTCCTGTTCATACTTAGTAATCATTCTTTGATCTTTAATGCATTTAAAAATGAAAGACCCTTAGGAGGTCTTTCATATTGTAATGTTGCTCAGTGGCAAAAGGAATTGATGGCAGAAAGAACTAAGAAATATTTGTGCATTCTCTGAGATCCAAGTGACTGTTCTGAAAACTCTAAAGGAAGCCTAGTTCAAAAAAAACTAGTTTAATTTATTCTGTAGATTTATTTTACATGTATTTTTCCAGTTTTATGGAAATTACCTGTCATGGTTTAACCCCAACCAGCAAGCACCACACAGCCACTTGCTCACTGCCCCTCTGTCATGGGATGAGGGAGAGAATCAGAAGAGTAAAAGTGAGAAAACTTGTGAGCTGAGGTAAAGCAAAAGCCATGCTCATGAGGAAACCAGGAAATCATTCACCACTTCCACTGTGCAGGCAGGTGTTCAGCCATCTCCAGGAAAGCAGGACTCCAACACGTGTAACGGTTACTTGGGAAGACAAACACCATCACTCTGAACGCCCCCGAACTTCCTCCTTCCCCCAGCTTTATATGCTGGGCATGACATCATATGGTATGGAATATCCCTTTGGTCAGTTGGGGTCAGCTGTCCCAGCTGCGTCCCCTCTCAACTTCTTGTGCTCCCCCAGCCTCCTCACTGGTGTGGATGGTGTGAAGAGCAGGAAAGGTCTGCACTCTGTGTAAGCACTGCTCAGCAGTAACTAAGACATCCCTGTGTTAGCAGTACTGTTACCAGCACAGATCCAAAACACATCCTCATACTGTCAAGAAAGTTAACTCTTCCCTAGCCAAGCCCAGCACATTACCCTTTAGCTCAGCGAGTGTTGCATTTCTAGCTCTGCAACTTCTGTTCTTCAGATGGAATATCTTTGTCTTGCTAATGTCATTACAATATAAAATGAATTGTATCATGTTCTGTATTTAATAAAAAATAATACCTTTTGTCATAGGGAGAAGAGGCTTGCAAAGAAGTATTATGATAAATTGTACAAAGAATACTGTATAGCAGATCTCAGTAGATACAAAGAGAATAAGGTAGGTTTCATTATTGTAAGTCATCTTGGTTTTAAAGTATGCCCTTTTTTAAAAATTGCCTTATGATTGTGGATATGTTGTGAAGCCAGAACATTAGTACCCCTTCCCTACAAAGACAGTTGTGAGAACTTGTCAAGTTATTTAATAAGCAGCAGCAGTTTGAATCCAAGCATTGTCACTGCCCCAAAAATGTGCTTCTGTGGGAATAGGAGCGTTTCTGTCAGACTGTGTTTTATGAAGAGGTACATTGTGTGTAGGAAAGGCAGAAAATGCAGAGAGGTTAAGGAGAGAAGGCTGGAGAGGTTTGCCTGGAGAGAAGCACTAGATGAAGCTTTAAAAAGCCCTGGGAAAGTTACTGTTTAAAAAGAGAGAGTTTTGTACTTGAACGCTGGCAGAAACGATTTTGGAAATGTCTGTTTTAAAGCAGTGCCTTTTGCTGGTTCTTTTCTGTTTATGGAAACAGGATTTGTATATTCCTTGTAAATACATAGGATTTCTTCAGAGAAACGGCCCAATTCCAGCACCGTTTTTTTCTTCTTAACCAGAACAGTTTTCATTGTTTCCAAGTTTTTGACTGACTAACCTGTTAGTGAAAAAGAACACGTGAATTTTCTATTGTGATTTTTCAAAGAGTGTTGCTGAACTCCAATGCATCTTAGTGTTGTTAGCACATAGCAACAACCCAGCCCTGCAAACAGTGTCTATGTAAAGTTCTTTGAGACTATTTATAGTATTGAAAATTACATTCACTGGTAAATATTTGCAAGGGCTGGGCTTAAACTCTAATATTAGGCAGAAAAGATGACAGCATTCTCAAGAAAATTAGAACAGGAGAATGCAAAAATTAACAGAAAGCAAAAGGCTGAAGATGTCTTCCTTCCTTCTATTTGAGTAAATGTGATTTTATTTTCCTATAGCTGTTTCATATCCCTCAATCTCCATCCTGCCCCCTCCAACTGATTTTCCCTTGAGCACGCTTACAGATTTTGTTCCTTTCACTGCTGTGCCAAGTTTCCATATGTTTGCTGTCTTTTGTGGGAAACTGTTCTGCTCCAGTTTCCTTCTTTTTTTTCTTTTCTTTTAGTGTATGTGAACAGTGTATCCCTGTCAGACTTCAAATGTGGCTGTCCTAACTTTGAGGTCACTCTGAATTCCTATTTATGCTCCTAAGTAATTACTTATATTTCTGGAATTGCCATGTCAGCATAACTCTGCAATATCATGTAATTTGTTCTCTTATATTAGGTTATGCTTTCTGTGCTCAAATACATTCTGACCACGTGAGAGGCCTTTCTTAGAAACCTTTAGAAAAATAGAAAGAATGAAATTTCTCTCAATTATTGATTTATCCATGCCCATGTTTGGTACAGAAGGATGTCAAAGCAGGTTGTTTTCTTGGAAGTCAGAAATAGTCTGCTGATCCCGTTCACACCAATGGAATGCAGCCTGTGCTTCGGATTTTTCCTGCCTTGATTCTTTTTCTGCGTTTCTAGAAAGTGGAAGTTGGACCCTTGTACCTTCGGTTTTGCAGTGCTGGTGCTGAGAGGTGCAGAGTTGGTAACTCGCTTCTCAGCTGGCCAACTTTTTGAATGATAGTTATTGATATGTATATATGAAAGAAAGTTTTTAAAGTGAGACCATCATTCACTGGAGTAACCTCCCCAGTGATGCGGTGGAGTCCCCGTCACTGGAGGTTTTCAACATGGGATTGTGTAGGGCGTGAGATAATCTCATCTAGGCTCCCTTTCCCACAGAAGGTTGGGTGCTCCTACTAGGTGGTGTCAAAGTCAAGTTGGAGATCAGTTTTCTGGGATGTTTCTTATATATATATATAACATAGATTGAGACTTGCACATACAAAAGACCCATCTGTCTTTTCATAACTGTAATTGTTTTGCTACTAGCAAAAATCTTCTAGCCAGCTAATTCTTCTGAAGATCTCTGCATAGAGATTGTAGCTCAGATTTCATTTAGAAATCTTCTTCTAAGAAAAAACAATTTTCCTAAGTACTGGATAATGATAAGGACCAGTTTTATGGGAGGGGTTCTCTTGGGGTGTGAAGAATAAGCAGGGCACCTTGTTAAAGACCGAAGCTCAAAAAACCCCACTAAGAAAGCCCAAGACAGATGAACTCCTGGGGCCACAGCAGCACTCCAGTTGAAGGTTCAGACTATTTCGCTCACATGGGTGCATGCATATACACATACGCACACACAGAGGTGGCTGGGACTCGCCTGGTCCCATAGTGGCCAGTGGAGACCCCTCCTTGCTCCCAGGGCACTTCCCCTAGCTGATGGCTTGTCTGGCTTGGTCTTCACTGATGCTCACAGAGTCACCACACACCTGCACTCACCCCCATTACTGACACCACAGGCAAGTTCGACCCTGTGACCCATGATCCCGCTTTTCTTTGTGTAGTTAGGACATACAGTCGTTTTCTTTTTTAATGAGAAATTCAAAAGTGATCCTCTGGTGTGAAGCTACTTAGAGGCACTGCAAGAGTGTGCTCTGGCAGCTCTTGCTTGTGATGGGTCTGTTACTCGTTACGTTTTCCCTAGATCAGAATTTTTTAGGTCAAGGTTGTCTTTGAACCTTTAGTGCTTCTTGTCTGCAAGCTCTGAGGCTGATAAATGACCCTCTGTATTGTCAGACAGTTCTATTGTCAGTTTTGCAGTGCTCTGCATGTAAGTTTTACTTTGATAAGCATTGGACTAGCAATGTTCTCTTTGTTGTCTTACTTGCCTAGAAAAGTTCTTATTTGCTGTCTCTCTGCCTTGTTTTGTACCTTAATAGATTGGAAGTGTCTCCGATTTGCTAAGAAATGAAATCTGTCTGACACCTGGTTATTAAACAGAATACATTTTATTCTTTTGGTTTTATTTCCAGATTATTTTGAGATTTCTAGGGCAACTTGTCTTCCACTTGATAATATGTTCAATTTTTGTAATTGTTTCTCAGTATGGAGGCTTTCTGTGAAAATAAAAATACTGATATTGATATGACATAAAAGATACATGTATCTATGGTATTTTTCCCACAGTGTTGTCTAAATTCATACATTTCTGTTTTTCTGAAAGAGGTGACTATGGACACGTTAGTTGTTGCTGCAGCCAATGGATATTACACAAGCAGTCCATATTTAATTTGGGAATTTGATTGTTTATGGGTATTAAACAGTCTTTCCCATTTTTAAAACTATAATTTCTTACTAAGTTAGCCAGTCGATACTCTTGCAGAGCATCTGTTTTGGAGTTGTTCTACTTGGTCTTGGTCTATCTTGTAGAAATAGCTCATTTAGGATCTGGTTGAACTCATTTAACAAAGAAAATGAGGCAGAATAAGTGCTGTCTGCTGATGATGCTTTTACATTCCTCAATATTGCAGGCTGACTATTCAAGAACCTGCCCGAATTTTTTATGTTCCTATATAGTTTAATCTGTTCCTGATATTTTAACTTAGTTAGAGGACTTCAGTTGTACTTACTTTTTATTTTGTGTTTCTTCTTAGCGTTGATCATTCTCTGTCATTTCCACAAGTTGGTGGAGGAATGATTGGTAAAAATGAATGCAGATGAGCACTACTTTTGTCCTAGAAGTACCTTAGATGGCTCTGGCTCCCTCCTTTCTTTTATTTTGCTTATTTTTCTTGATACCATTACATAAATACTCTGCAAGGTTATAATCTGATTTATAGCTTCTTGAGTCAAGTTCAGACTGTGAGGGAAAATTTGTATAAAAGTCTATTTCAGTAGCAAAAGGGATCATGGATAACTTGGTGTTTGGTGAAGTAGCAGATGGACTATGGAAAAGCAAACATGCAGATAAGGTCAAATTGTTTTTCACTCTTTATTGCCAGCAGAACACATGTGCAAAATTGATGCCAAAATACTGTTGACGTTTAATTGTAAACATGCAGTATTTTTCAATTGCGTCACAAGCTCTTCAGCATTAGAATACCATGTAAAACAGCAATATCCTTTAAAAGTCCAACAATTGCCATCACTTTTGGATCAGATGGTTTCCATCATGAATTCTACATTTACAGCTGTACTCTACATTCTGTTTTCACTGAACTGTTCAGCTCAGTTGTTGGTTTTCACAACTGATTATTTTCTGTTTGACTGAAGTGTGAGTGATACAACAGTACTTTAGAGCACACTGCAGATTGGTGGAGTAGGCTGAGCGTGACCTGATCCAGCCTTAGCAAACTGTTATCTTACGCAGTATGGTAGCAGAACCTGATCTTCTCCTGTACTTTTTTTTTTTAAACCAGTAAGTGTGAAAACATTGTTTATGTTATAATAGAAAACTAGTGTACTGATTTAAAGAGGCAAATACTTTGTTGGTGTACAAATTTTCAGTAAGTATCTTCTGTGTAATGTATTGACTTGGGAAAAATCAGTGCTGACAAAACAGTCAGCTACTGTTGTCTTCATGCTCATTTTTTTTCAGCTTTGTTATTAAAATACAAAGCATTTATATGAGAGTATGGCACAGTCTAAAAGCCGTTGTTTCCCTGTTTTTTCTGATATTCTTTGAACCACACACCACCTCATGCCTGAGAACTCCATGCTATTGCCCTTCAAATGAATTATTATTATGGTTTATTTAAAAAATCAACAACATAAAGACCACACAGAGCAATAGATACCTGTATTTCTGTAGAGTAGTTAAAATTAGATTAGAAATGTTGAAAATCAATCCAGTATATTATAGAATTTAGGCCACTGAATCTACAAAATGCACATTTGTATGGGTTCAGTCTATGAGTGCACCAAGAGAAGGTTCCTGTTCCAAAGGATGCTTTGGAAGTCAGGTGTCAAAGATGGTCTAATCTTTACTGCCATTTTTGTACCTCTTTGATTTTGTAACCCTTCTTCCTCCTCTTACCTCCCCAACTTTTGACATGAAGCTTGGAGTCTTCTGTGCTTTGCAGCAATTTTATCTTCTCGTCATCCTGTGTTCATGAATTTTAAATGAAAATACAGGATAGCCCTCTTTGGAGATGTTTTATGTCTCTGAGTTTTACCTCCTCTTTTTGTTTTAGTCCTAGGGTGTGAAAGGTGATCCACTGATACGTGCTAATATGACTTTTCAGTATTCCAGTGGACTGGGTTTTTAGTGTGGACAAAATTGCAATGCAGTATTTAGTAAATCAGTCTATCCTAATTTTCTGTTTGTTCTTCTGCTTGCTATGAAGCATTTTAGAAACCTGCTATTCAGTACTGAACATCTAATGGAATTTGAATTGTATGTGTAAATTGGAATCCTTTGGGTGAGCAGAGGCAGAGAGATACTTTTAATGAACAGAGAAAGAAATTAAATTTTACTAACCAGAATTGAGCCACATACAGGACATCAATCAACTGAAATTGTTCTTTACTGAGTATGTTGATTATTCACAACTTAATTTTGGTTCTTATCTTAACAGTTTGGATTTAGATGGCGACATGAGAAAGAAGTAATTTCAGGAAAAGGTAATGCTGTCTTTCATTTTTTATTACATTTCTCGTTGATACTTTTCTTGCTGCTTTTTGACATAATTTTCTTAGACTGTGTTTGACAGTACCAGTAAGTTTATCAGATAATAATGGACAATGAATATACTTAAATTCTATCTTTGCTGGTTTATGCCACAAAGCTCTAAAGTGCACGCTGATCTGCGTATGTTGAAATCAAGAGAACATATGGTTTATTTGCACAAGGTCACATTTGTAATGAATACCAACATAATGCATTCGATAATGCAGAATTTAATGGATGTCCTTTTTAGCTGCTTTTCTCCAGTAGTTCTCTTACCTCACTGGTCTTTGATACATTTAATTGAAGTCTGTCAGTATTTTTCCTCAGGAAATAGTTTTCTTCACAATTTTTCCAGTGCTGTTTTGCAAAATGTTAACTTTTTAATTAAAGTTCCATCTGTGATGTCTTAGGCTAAATTGGTTTTGAAAGCTTTGGTGGGAATGGTTGTAATGTCTCCCAATCCTGTTTCTAAATCAGTAGTTTATTCTGGCTGCTTCTGTGTGTGAGTTCTTACCAGTGTGTTAGTGGGACTGTGCACAGCGGTCCCCGTTCCGCAGCCTGGGCGCATGGACTTTTTCAAGTAGCCAGACGAACAAGAGAATGATGTGAATGTATTGCTGTTCCCATGGGTAGATCTTCATACACATTTACGATTTTCAGGAGTCATTCGTGCACACACAAGGAAATTACAAGGGTGATACTGTTGATCAGAACAGTTCTGTAAACAGTTCTGCCTGTTACATTACAAGAAGTTAGGACTGCACTTTTTTTTTTTTTAAATATACCATATTTCACAGGATGAAGTGGGTACACTAATGGTGGGATTTTTTTAAGATGTAAAGATTAAAGCACCTAAAGGTTGTTTTAGTCATATGTTGTATTGGGCATGACAGATTATATTAACAGATAGTAACGTTTGATATAGTTCTATGCTTTATTGAATGCTTTAAAAATATAATCTATCTTAAACGAGAAATGAGTAATTTCTGAACAGCTATGTCTTCATGGGGAAAAAGAATTTAAAGCTGCATTGTACTTTTAATATATGGTACTCCATATTGAAAAATGTGGGAGAAAGTGCAGAATTACATGGCTTAAGCTTTTTAATGAAATCCTAGTACAAGGGTACAATCAGAACTTTGAGAATTGAGAAATAGTGTCTTTCACCACTAAGGGGCGCAAGAATTCAGTCTTACCTGGTGTCCTGGACGCTCCTTTTAAGTGCAGTTTCAAATGAGCGTTCAAAAAAAGGTGTGAATATTTAATGCCTTTCTTTTTGCTATTTCCTGGTATAATTCACTAATATAGATTAATTTAATTAAATCTATTAAAGCATTAATACCTACCTCTCTGATAATTCATATTAAGAAAGGGAGAGCATGTGCCTATTCTAGCTGTTACAATCATAGTGGTGATGAGAACCACTGCTGGTGGACTGTACTGTGGTTTGGGGCATGTTAGGAATGGAACATAGGAATGGGCTACCTCTTGGGTTGCTTTGGTTTTGATATCGGTCTTCGTAAGGTTATAGAGAAGAATAATGGTTAGGATGAATGAAAAGAGAGGTATCACTCGTATTACTAAGTGTAAATGCCAAATTATTTCTTTCTTTTCTTTCCCACTCTAATCTTTTGCTGTGAGTGTTTTGAAAGGAGGTCATATTGGAGATTGCTGTTGTATCTCCTTAAATTTAAAATGTAACCTTAATGGCGGTTAATGGTGTGATACATTGACAGTTTCATAAATGGTTCCACAAAAGGGCATTTTCTTAATTAAAATCTTAAGGCAAAACCCTGCTTTCAGTTTTAGAAATTAGTGAATGAATAGTAGGCACATGGGTGAGTTGGTCTGAAAATAAATCCTTAAACTGAAAAGCTTTTAAGCTGTTTAAAAATACATATTTGACATGCCTTCCCAAGTACTTTTTCTTTGTTTCAAAGCAGGAATAGTAAGGTATGGCATAAAATTTTAAAATAAAAGGTATTTTAGGAAAAAGGTGATAGTGGTAAAAGTTTTCTGTAGGAAAATAGGGAACAAGTTCATTGGTTGGAGGTGAACCATTTTTAAGCAGTATGAAGAAAGAGCCAAGCTGAACACGTGGGTATATTTGTTGTTTTCTAATTATTTGTATTTGTAGATTAAGTAGCAAGATACTCACACCAGACATATTATTTGACAATATAGGGTTTACTATTTGCAACTTGATCTACTCTCCATTTTTTCATTGTTTCATTTAACTAATGCTTCACTTTTAGCATAGTAGTGCCTGTCTATTTTATCTATGTATAAATGCACACCTAATATGCTTTAGTTTATTTAAACAAACATTTTTTTTCAAATCTGTTCCCACTTATTTTTTCTCAGTAATTTCCTCTGTGGAAAACAGGCAGGGTATCAATACCTTGGTAGTGCACCATGTAGCCATGTACTAATCTGGTAAATTCTTTGGACTGAAGTTCTGATCATAATGCTTTTAAAATCAGTCTTCTGGCTCTCTAGATATCCTTTAATTTTCCGTACATCATTTAGCCAGTAGGATTTACATTTTCCACCTATTCTGCTCTTCAGCAATAAGCAGAAGGGACACATGTAACAGCCAGATTATAGGAGTTATAATTCTGAACATGAAGGCAATAACTTCCCTGCAGCTCTTAGCAGGGTGACAGAACTCCAGATAGAAATGGAATTTTGGACATACATTTTTCTTGCTGATTAAATTAGGTGACTCTCCACTTGGGCAGGCTGGTTTCTGTGTCTTCCTTTCTTGGACATCTAACTGTGGGAAAAGTCATGCCTCAAATACTGAATAATCTGGTCCGTAGGTCCCTTTGATTTGGGTTCTCCATATACACGATGAGCATTATAATGATCTCTCACTTTGCAAAAATGTGGGGTTTCTTAATGCTTTTATGACACTCAGATACTAGTGATAAATACTACTGAAAAAACCTTCAGAAACAGTGGAATTCTGTATTCAAGTCAAGGTTTGAATGTGTTGTAGGGATTGCAGCGTGAAAGGAGGGTAAGAGAAGCCTGGCTGTTCATACACATGCAGGGATCTGCTAAAAAAAAAAAAAAGCATCACTGTGATTTCAGATATTTATATCATCGTAAGTGCAAGTAAATATGTAAGGGACGGAATTATTGTGGCTTACACAGTCAAGTTCTGGTTTACTTATGAATTCATTGCTTGCCTTAGCAATCTGAAGATCCTGTTCCAACTATATTCTTGTGAACATATCCAGTTTCACATCCAAAATGTAGAATATCCAAAATGGATTTTACGTACTGTAAAGAGCAATGAATCATAAATAAAAGTGATGTATCTCTGTTTTCTCTTTGCCTGTTTTTTGAGTTTGTTTTGGGATTTTTTTCAGAAGATGTGAAGTAAACAGAGCCTGCTTTAAGCTCCAAAAAGCTTTATGTAGTATAAACTTTTCCTTGCAGATTTTTGCTCCTTTGTAATGGATATAAATTATTCTTGATGACACAGGGTACTGGTAGCCATACCTTACATAGGGTTAAACATATTTAATGTATATTCACCTGAAACTTTTTTTAATGATAGTCCTGGGGGTGTTTTCGGTTCGAGTGTTCGCATTGCAAGTGGTGTTACACTGCAGAACTGAAGTATCTGAGGACACTGCCAATCCATTAGTTAGCAGCTTAAACAGAATGTTCTGAGGCTAATCATTCACCAACAGTCCTGCTTGTGAGCCTATTAATACACATCCTTACCACCAGCTCTGCATAAAAGTTGGTCTCTTATTAAGAGAATAGATGTATTTTATTATTGCAATATTAGGAACCCAGTGGTGTAAACAACGTTGATTATGCTCAAATTGTTTTAAAATCAGTGTTGTATTTAATATAATCAACCCAAGGAAGCTTTTAGAGCTGCTGCATAGTTTCTTATGGAATTGGATTTCCTTTTCTTAAAATGTTTATGGAAAGTCATTTGAATACAAATCGTATGTCCATTATATCAGGTAAACTAGTATGGTTATAAGAATATGGACATCTGAATTTTGTACATACATGATACTTTGATGTCATCAAAGGTATGTGTCTGAATCACACCTCCTGATCCATCAGCCTCTGCTAAGCAAATAATGATTTAGGATACAGAATGTATCCTAGTGACATTCATTTCTTCAGAATTCAGTATTAGGCTTATTATTTCATAACAGATGCCTTCGTCTATACACTGTAAAACACAGTTCGAATTATGTTCTTTCTCTGCAAATATGCAATATTAGACAAGTACGATTGATTGCTTTGTCACGATCTGTTACTGTTTCCTTAACCTAGATGTTACTTTTAGATTTGTCCTTTTTCTTTGAAAGAAAGGGAAAACAAAAAGGAAAAACTGAGCAAAACCGGATATAACAACCCCAAACCTATGCTTGTTATTAATTGAATGATGGTTTGTTGTTTTTGACTTCTTTAAAGGTCAGTTTTCTTGTGGAAATAAGCACTGTGATGAGACAGAAGGCCTGAAGAGCTGGGAGGTGAATTTTGGTTATGTTGAACATGGCGAAAAGAGGAATGCACTTGTGAAACTGAGTAAGTCAGCACTTCAAGGATATGTACACTTAAAAGACAAATACCTTGTGCTTTAAAAGCTATATCAAGTGAGTCCTAATGATGTTGATACTAGTTCATGGAAAGTGGTGAATAGGAGATAATTTTGTTAAATGAATTACAGGTAGTATGATGGTCTTGATTTAGAGAGAACAGCTACTATTACTATATATGACAAAGCGGTTACGGGTTGACCACTTCATGTTGTATAATTGATGGTGCATTAAAATCAGAGTAACTGGTCATAACCTGTTTAGTATGCAAGCATGTCTGGTTTTAACGGGCACTACTGCATTGCAAGAAGGGTTTCATCACTGTCATTGCCTAATCAGTTATGTGGTTTAGGAGTCCTTAGAGCTTTGGACCCAGCAACTTCTTGCACACCTTCAGCTCTACTGATTTTATTTTTAATATTTATGTTTTCTTGCAAAAATTCTAACTTTAATTAAATCACCTTCTTTTCTATTCTTATCTCTTGAATGGGATTTTCTTATTCAATATTCTGTGCAGTTTGAAATGTTCATCAGATAATTAAACTTAGCATGTTTACACAGTAACTTTGTGTAAAACAAACTTGTGGTGTCTTTCGTGCACTTCATGTGGCAGCGCTTGCTCTCTGGCAAAGCTGTAAGAGACTTGAGGGTCTTCAGTGTAATTGAAGAACAATTTGATCTGCCCACAAAGAGCCATAAATGGGATGTCTGTATGTGATAAGCACTGATACTTGTTTTGAAGAGTTGCCAGTGCTAAACCTGTTTAGTAAAGTCTGGATTTGTATTGAAGGCTTTTATCATGGTATCTTTCTTAACCCTGGCTGTAATAAAATTGTAAGTTTTGTTTTGAAGGAAAAGCTGCTGAAGTGAGAGGATAGTGCTCTATCTAGCTTTATCTATGTATTAGTAAGTTTTGTCAATTACGCTTATCAAATACAAGGCTGTAATGTTCTCATTCTGTCTTTTTCAGGGCTATGTCCAGAATGTTCCCACAAACTAAACTTTCATCACCGGTAATGAGATACTTTGAAAATATCGGGGCTGAATTATTCATAGATTACAGTTATGATGAAATAAGCAAATAAGGGGAAGATTTCAGGTAGATTATTAGGAACTTCATTTATGCTGAAACAGATTCAGTTCAGTTCTTGCAGAGACACTGACTTGAGACTGTGAGAAAGTTAGGTATTGTTGTGCTATTGGAAGTACAAAACCCTCAAACAAGAAGAACCTCACCCCTCCCATGAAAGTTTCCTTTGGTTAATTTCAGCCCAGTGATTATTTCTCTTTTCTGAATGTTTATGCAAAACACATTTTTTTTATTTTTCTTCTTGCTGTTTTTTATTAGCTGGAATATTTTTCCTTTTCTTAAATATAGTGGCACAGTCAAGTGACTGTGCTTTGAAATTTTTAATTTGCGTAGTTGTTCTTCTTTGAGAATCACTTATTAATAGGACAGAAAAACGGTGAACCTATAAAAACTGTGCTTTAAGATTTTGTTTGGTTTTTATTATTATCTATAATCTTGCTGAATTCCACAACTATTGATACTCAGATTTTCCAATTTTCTGGATCTTGATGTGCTATTAACTTAGTTGCATGGCTCAGTAATTAAGCCATACAATTATCTGAAAAGCGTATGAAAAGGAAACCTTTGAGCTAGGAAGCAATGATTTCTTTTTTAAAGTAACACAAATCACAGTTGTGTCTATCTAGATACATTCAAGCTAGTTCAGTTATCCATTTTGAAAGTTAATTCATATTCACTTTCAGTAAAGCACTGTGCAGGCACACATTAAGGAGCATTAACAAGCTGAGATCAGTTTGATTTGTCTTACGTCTTTTTGGAACTAAAATTGCAAAACCACTTGAGTTCTGAATAAGCATGGTCAGACATTGTCTCTTTGTCTACTGCAGAGTAAGACTTACATTGAAACAATTTCACTTACTTTGTGCAAAGAAGCAGGAAAATACCTATATTCATACAGTAAACCTATATAAGTAACGCTGAAAATAAATACATGGGTTGTTGGTCTGCAGGAGGTTCTTAGGCTTGAGATTCCTCTACCTCAGGTTTTATCACTATCAAATATGAAAATGTGTTTACAAATCTGTATTAACTGTTTTTCTCGTTATGTATGTACAAAATCAATTGCTAAAAGGAAAAATAGGATTTCAATATAAATAAGAATTTGGCATGTTGTAAAACTATTTTCTGTATTTAATCTTTGCAAATTCACTGGTTTTGTTGCCTGCATCATAAGTATAATTTTAGTGGCTTTAGCACTTCCTATTCTTTGTCTTCAACTATAAAGTGTTTCTATAGCGCTTTTAATTTTAAATTTTTTTCCCCTGTTTAACTAGGGATAGGTTTTTAAAAAATTACAACTTTTTGCTGAATTTAATACGTAAGATATACTGTTGTTTGAGGAGTGCGTATAAGTGAGAAGGTGTAACTCATATTTTTTTAAAGGAGGAAAGAAGTCAAAGCACTCAAGAAAAGACGCACAGCTGTACCAAAATCTAAAGAGCCAAAAATTAAGAAGACAAAATTATCTGGTTCATCAAAAAACAAGTCCAAAAAAAAGACCCATAAAGGTAAATCTAAATTTTAAAGTTTCACTTTTGAAAATGTTCCAGTGTTAGTTGAATGTTAGTTTTGCTATACGTACATATGGAACTTTCTTGGCTGTGTAACACAGGTAGTAAAAAAGGTAAATTTCTTAGTAAAATTTCATAAGTGTATCCTACATTGTATGGAGAGGGAGACCCTTCTGAGAAATACACATTGTAAGAAAAAAATTGTCCAAGAATTGGACATTCCATACCAGGAAAGGGTTGTTAAGTATTTAATTCCTCGAGGCTTTGGGGTTGAAAGCCTTTTGTAGATATTAGATGACCTTTTTACACCACGGGTCTCGGGATAACATATTTAAGCTCAAACTGATGACCTTTGAACTCATGTAAAAAATCTTTTTACTTCAGTGTTTGCTTGCTTGCTTTCAATGTGTGCTGTGTGCGTGCATGTGCACATGTTTATGTGTAATATATTGTGAGAGAAATATTCTTGTAAACAATTTAAGATAATGGATAAAACCAAGATAAGCTTACTATTTTTTAAATGTTCTTTTCTTTCCAGATCAGACTTCTTCAGAAGATTCAGATAATTCTGCTAAAGGTAAAGTACTTTAATATCTTCTGCATTTTATGTTTTTCTAATAAGTTGTATTATTTCATATTCAGTTATCATTGCTGTTAGTTTTATTCACTGACAATTTTAGTATGAGAGTGCTGTGTGAGAACAAGCAGGGAGATGTAGAGTCAAAACAATTACTTACATATTCTTGGAGAAAAACTCTAAGGAAAGGAATAAAAATGTAGGCAGATAACAGAATGGAAATAATAAGAAAAATGAGACGTCAGGTTGTTCCATAAGGGAGTAGAGGGTGCAGAAAATAAGTACATTGTTAATAATTGCAAGGGTCTGGGTATGCACATACATGCTGTGTTAAGAAAATACTTTTCTGATGTAATAACTACTACAGCTCTTTCAGGAAACGATACTACGATGTGCTCTACTCAAAAAATCAACAGATTTTAAATAAATCCTAGGCTTTAACCAAAGTCTTTTCCAGTTACCACCTGTAGTACCTCAGAGACCCACTTGTGGGTGGATGTGCTCAGAGTCTCGGGGCCTCCTTAGGCACTGCTTGTCTCTGTACCTCAGTAATTCCAGTCCCCAGTTTCCTTGGCTGAAACAGGCCCCATATCCAGGTCATGTTAATTCTTGCTGCAGACTGTCTAGAAGGGACTGAGTATTTCTACTGATTGCTCTGCTGTGCTGAATGTTTTTGGGAATGTTGTCTGCACCTACTTTTTCTGAGCTAGATACAGGAAGATCTGAAGCAGATTTCTTATTATTCTGACCATGCCTAAAGTCTCTGGGGGGTCAGGAAAGCTCTATTGGAAAACCTTTTTTTTTAGGTCATGGCATATTTCTGTTAATAAGACTTTTTTGGTTTTCACTCTATTTCACTTACATGAAACAAGTATGCAGTAATCCATTTTTTTACAATTTCATTGATACAATTGCTAAAAATTGTCATTCAAGTAGAAGTTAAGTCACTGATTCATTTGCTGTCATGAGGTGAAATTGTGTTGTAATTCCAGGTTTGTGATTATAAACCCATAATTTTAGAAACAAATGTTTGGCCAAAATATCAGTTAATGGTATCTAAGAGTCTTTTTGATGCTTTTTAGAATAACATTGGAAAATGTTTTCATTTTCACTTTATGCAAAGTGCTCTTTTTATTCTCATGATCATAATTAGATGTTGCTCCTAAAAATATACCATCTAATAAAAAAAAAAAAAGTTCTTTTAAAATTTATTTCATAAGCACTTTAATTTTTTTAACAGATTCAGATAACAGTGATGCACAAGATGGTCCTTCAGATGCTGACTTTTGGAAAGGTCCTCTACAAGAAGCAGATGAAAAATCACGGTTAGTTTGATCTAGTAGCTAGTGAAACATGCAGTGTCCATTCTGAACTGCAGAGGCAGAGATTTTTTCTGAGAATTTTAATGAATATTCTGACATTTAAAATTATGTCAAATCTCCTTCCATGTAGTGAGCCTAAGAATGTGTTTTTTAAGAGGAGACATGCACAACACTGGAGGAGAAACTTTGTCTAGCTACTGCCATAGCACTGCTGTCTTAACCCTGCCATACCATTAATTATCTTAGAAGTAAATCCTAACAGTCAGCTCACTGCTGTTGCACAGATAGTGAAATGTGAAGGGTATTGGAATGTAGTGAGTAAGTCAAAATTGTCTCTACTGGCTACAAATTCTAATCAGAAGTCTGCTGAATCTTTTTCATCCAAAGATTCTCTCTTAGGTACAGATCCAAAGCAGAACTTTCCTTGACGTTTTTGTTTGTGTGTGTTTTTTTTGTTTTTTTTTTTTTTTTTTTTACAGGGAGGAGGAGTTTGATGAGTATTTTCAAGACTTGTTTCTCTGAAACTGGAATTGATGTAGGCTGATTTTCTTTGTGAATGGCCAAGATCACAGTCTGGAAATCCACTCATAATTTGGGACCAGAGACCTCGCTCTGCCAGCATACCTTTTCTACAGTAACTCACATGGACTGTTTGGGCAGATTATCTTTGTAGAAGATTTTGGGTCTAAACACTTTCTTGTTCTTGTCGTAGGCTGCGTACTCATGAAATAAGAGAAACAATTTTTTCAGTTCTGTGCAAAAGGTAATACGGCACCTGAATTTAATTGTAGAAAGGATGTAAACAAACAGGAGTATAGTTTATTAACATTACATCACAAAAGTTGGCTGCTTTTTATTTTATCCCAAACTTCAGTATTGCCAGATTTTTGTAAAGGGGCATTTTGGAAGAATCTGTTATTAGTTTAAAGCCATACCCTTTAATATATTCATATTTCTAATTTATTAAACAAGAGTTAATAGCCTTGAATCCATTGGTCATGTAGACTTTAATATTTACTTTTTAGTCTCTGTAAGTATTTTCCAATGCTACTGGAGAAGTTAAATTTTAATTAAATATATGTTTTGCTTGAATTAAGTAAACCATATCTGAAATCTCTCCCCTACTCCTTGAAAAAGTTCAGTTCATTGTGACTTTGTTTTAAATTTTAGTTATAATGTGATGTGACTGATAATTCCACTTAAAAAATCTGGTTGGTTGGTGACATTTTTGATGTAAAAAATAAAGTGTGTGGCTTTCTACTGGAGATGTACATGTGACTATTACGTTTTCTGCGGTTTCTGATCTCCTTAACATTGATTGAATGTTAATCCTTCTTTAAAGTGTAATCCTAAACATACAAGTAGAGAGTGTGTGTTGCCTGACAAACTTACTGGATTCATCTTTCTCTGAGTTGCAACACAACTTTAAAAATTCTTTATTTTTTGTTTCCAAAGAAACAGTCTGCACATGAGTAGTTACAGTATAAGTTTTCTTTGTTGGATGAAAATTACTTTGGATATAAAGGTCAAACTTTTTGAATTAAATGTTCATGTTAATATTTAACATGAGGAGAGGTTAATGTTGTATAAAATATATTTTTGATAAGTAATTCTCACTGTAGATATATTTATAGAAATTATTTATAATATGTATTGGATATGGGAAGCATAACAGCAGAGATGGTTACAGTGTACGTGAACATTTTACGTTCATATGAATATGAATGGGTTCAATATTCATATGAGAACTATTTACAAGTATTACTTAACATAATTACATTTTAAACAGTTTGTACTTACATAATAGGTGACAGTACAAGGACGTATTTAGGGTGTCTTTGAGTAAGAAATAAACGTAGCCTTGCACGAAGGCTTCTTTAGGTAAGAAGGTGGATTTAAAGGTTAATTCTCTGTCATCTTGCGAGCTTGGTTCAGAGTCAAATCCAATCTACAGAAATCTGCTTACATGTATGCAACTTGCCCAAAGGGGTTTTGTTGAATGTGTTGCTATATCTGTTGCTTCAAGCATTGTATACTGTGTGTTCTGGATAACTAACTCCTCTTTGAGTCTTTAAAATACAGTTATGAAAAAGTACAGTATACATATTAAATACATCATTTAATACAGTTTGAATAAAATTACACGATCAAACAACCTTGAAACAGCTTTCTTAGTATCTGCATTTAATACAGAAAATAATACATGGTACCCAGTTTTATGTCATAACTAAGTTTGCATAAAATATTTGGCCCATTTATAAAAAGGATGTAGTAAGTGGGATTTTTATGTGGATTCCTTTAACTTTGGGTGATAGTTGTACACAGTATCTGTGTTCATAGAGCATTCTTAGAAAGCTATATAATACGGCAAATTGTTTAATCATTCTCCCTTCTCTGTGGATGCTGAGGGCCGTTCAGAGAGAAAAAAAAAAGTGATGGATCTGTTTTCTTTAAATGGGGAGAAAAAGTGGCAGGATTGAGACTGCATGTCAAACTCGGTTGTTGCAGGAATCGCATTTGACGTCCATCTTCTCTTAGGTTTGGAAATAGTTCCAGTGAATGCTGAGATCTGTGCATAATATACTAGCTATTTTCCTTCCTTCATCTGCAGGAAGAGCTGGCTTCATGAGACCTGAGTAGAGGTATGGAGTGGACTCTGATTCTTCAAGAACAGAAGCTTTTGCTAGGGAGATTGTTTTTGATGAAGAGCTAATTTGTGTGCAGTCTGTCTTCTTGGCTGTAGAAAGGGAGGTGATGTCAATTCTGATGTGCTCTACTTCTGCTGTCCTCTCCCTCCCAAGATTCAATTGGTGCCAGTTCATTGCTTTTCAAATACTTTCATTTACTGCATTTTAAAAAAGGTGCATTGTGAGCACATGAGCCTTTAAAAATGCCACTGAATGTAGATCTAGCTGTAGATATTCTGGTATAGGTATCTTGGTAAACTCTTACTTGTCTGCAAAGTATGATGTTTACAGTCTGCCTGCCTTTATAGATTTTACAATAAAAGGTGGTCAGTTTAGGAACTTTGAGCAGAACCATTTGCACATGGGCAAAAGAATGGTTTCTCTGAGCTATGGCTGCAGTTCACAGATTTATCCTTGGTAGTTTTGAAAGAATGCTGTGTACCATGGGCCTGCTTTTAGTGGATAAGAGCCAGGGAATTTTGTTGGGCATTCCTAAAGTGAAGGAGATACTTACTCTAGAACTTCGTGTAGTGTTGAGAATAAAGGAAAATGACAATTCCAGGTTAAGGAAATAATATAAAAATTAAATATACAAGTTATGAAAATCACATTTTTTTTGTTTGAATAGTACATGTTTGATTTCATATAAGTTCTGTCAAAATTATTTATATTTTTTCTGGACAGTGTACTGAAGTTACATATTTTAGTAAAAATACTGTATGTAAATTGAGTGACATAAAAACATATCTAGAGTGCACAGTTATCTCATTTTGCACCATTATTTTTTCTTTTAATTTTCCAGTTTTTAATTGTAGCTGTTTGTTTACTCCATCAAAAATTATTTCCAACAAATGGCAAGTGTTTAAGAGGATTGTTAAGAGATCGAGCTATACTATTCTATGCAAAGCAGAAATCCACTGGGGCTCATTGAAGTTCTTTCTAGATGTATTTTCTGTAGCAGAAACAGTGTCTGAGTCAAAGAATTACAAAACTATACAGGTTTTGGATTTTCCGTCCTCTCCACTTCCGCCACCTCCAGCTGCATTTTCTGCCAAAACACAGAGAAGGAAAGTTAAGTGAGTATTTTCTGTTCATTTTAGCTGCGCTAATTTCTGATGAAAAGGTGTTGCTTTTGTGATGTGCATATTATGTGTGTGACCTTCTGAAAATTGAATGTGCTTTCACTTCTTGTCTGGGAAAATAGAACAAGAAACAATAACACATGCTATATATACCTATGTGTCTATAGTGTAGCAGTTGTTACCAATATTTGTCAAAGGACCAAACACACACTGAACCACTCTTACTGGAAAGTTTCAGTAGTTAAATATATATAACTGTCCCACACATACAAAAATGAGGTATGCAAGCCATGAAATGAAATAAAATCTTGGATGAATAAAATCTGTGAATCTGTTTTTGAAGCAGATGATAAACTTTAATTTGACCTAATTGTATAAACCTTTATCCAACCCTGCATGAATCCCTTTGTAATTACCAATTAAGAGAGAGACACTTTTTATGTTTGTTATCTGTAGCTACTGATTCTGTTACTCTCTCTCAAATGATTCCACAGATGTTCCTTGATCATAGTTAAGATTCTTTCCATGTAATAAATTGCGTTTCCAGGTTCATTTAAGATAAGATACCAATATTAGAATCAAAACTTACATTTGAAAGCTGTGGATCACCATGTTACTAGGTCATTTTCGACCCTTTCCACCTGCATTGAAACATGTCACATAATCAGTGTCCTACCCTCTGTAATTTGTGGATATAATCAACACTATGTTACTAACCATGTATTTTATTTTCTTACTTTAATACTGTGTTCTGGTTTTCTTCTGAACTTTCCACTGTAGTGGTTCAGCAAATACATACATTTTGTTTTCTGTCTACTGAGTGGCTAAGAATAGCCAGGTCAGTGTGATCTAGGGAGACCACCGTGGTTCAGCATGTGTCAAATTATTGTTTGTATGAACTGCCTTAACAAACCCATGTATTTACATGGCCTTGATTTGACAGTGTCAGATCTGTTCTTCACAAATGTGCCTGGCCTCGTTCCAGTGCACATTTAAAAAGATGCAAAATAATTCACTTACATTTTGTGATACCAGTTATGGTCAGCAAAAGGTCAGGTCCTTAGCTCCTGCAAATCAGTCTGTGCGTGCTTGCCTGTGCAAGGTTCCTTCTGGGAAAATACTTCTTTCCTTAAGTTGGCAACTAAGTGATTCCAAAATACCAGTGATGTAAGATGGTCCTGACTTCAGGTGGGAGTAGAAATACCCGAGTCTTCCTCAGTGTATAAATTAGTTTTTATTTAAGAACCCTGTGCTTCAGTGCACAGGATCAGAGTTCAATAACTATACTTTTTGCCAAGAAAGCAAATGCATAAGGAGGTGTGTGTGTGTCCTGGGTTGTTTTGTTTTGCAGATATTTCTGTGAAGTTCAGATGCTTACATTCCAGTGTAAAGAAAGAGTAGTTTGTTCATACTCGCAAACAGCTAGTTCTCAGCACTAAATTAATCTTAAATAAATAAGATGATATGATTAATTGCAACAAAGTGTCTTATAAAAATAAATTTGGGAGACAGTGGGGTGGGCATAATTTCTGTGGAAGTGTGTGCAAGGGGTATCACAGTGTGAGCAGGCCAAAGTATTCCTTGTCATTTTATTATAATAATAATATTTGACTCATTCTATTAAACTACTCTTTCACAATCTGCTTTGATTAAATCATGTGACTTAGAATACTTTTTAAACTTTGCAACAGCATCTCTTTTTTTTTTATTTTAGCCTGGTATAATTTATTTTAGGAGCCAATAGCTCTCAAGT